CACAACATGTGTCTTTAGACTTTCTGAATTTAATATATTTATAGCTTTAGAAACATTTTCATTTTTGGTAATCAAAGAAAAAAATTACACTTTACCCTTATAAAATTTAGCCAGTGACTGATATATTAGGAGAGGAAAGAAAGGTTTCCTTTCAGTTTTTTTGTTGACCCACTCACTGAAACAAACCAAGTACATGTTCATAGTAAGTTTTATGTTCAATTAGTGTGCTTTACAATTCTGACATAAAAATTCCTATCTTGGGCACCTCTTTAGGGACCTTTGCTTGACTAGAGGTGATTATTGCTGACAAAGTATAAAAAGTTATTAATAATTGTGTGTGAGATGTGTGTGTTGTTTTATATATGCACTTGGGGGAGGCAATAGAAATGCAGACCACATTCTCTTATTAAGAATTAATGCCACTGGGCCTCCCGGTGGCGCAGCGGTTGAGCGCTGGGTTGCGAAGATGCCCGCAGCCTCTGTGGCACTGGTTCGATCCCCGGCTGCTCCCTGCCCACCAGAGGAGGGTCCCGCATGGCGCGCAGACCTCTCCTGCCGCCCGCTGCTCCCCTCAGCAGTGTACTTCGGTTCTTCTGCCTGCTCTGCTCCCTGCTCTGGCTCTGGTGAATTCTCTCACCCTCCCGCGCTTTTGACTGTACCCAGTGCTTGCATTAAATAAATAAATAAATAAATAGGGGAAAGGAGGGCTTGGGGTAAAAATAAGGGGGTTGTTATTGTCTGGGGAATATAAAAATAAAATTTAAATTTAAAAAATAAATAAATAAATAAATCTTTAAAAAAATAATGCCACTAACTGGATAGCTTTTGTATATACATGTAGATGTGATTGGGAAGTGCTGTGTAACCAGCAATCCATTCTTCATGCACACATGTGTTTAAAAATTTTTAAATACAAATAATACCTATTGAATATGTGTATATGCATATTTAGCAGAGTCACAAATTGTTTACCTAAAAATTTTCCAGAATTGAAAATGACTAGGAATTCAAAGAAAGGCACATCTTGAATAGCCATTGCCAAAATGTCTTCCAAAGAGATTGCACAAATTCACATCCCCAACAGGATACAAGGATTCCTGTTTTTCCTCTTGTACACCAATGTGGTATCACACTTTAAATCTACAGGACAGCAAGTCACTCTTAAATAGCTGTCATAAGAACATAAAAGCTGGGCTAGGAAGCCAGCCAGTCTCCCAAGTGTCTCTTCCCATGACTGTTTATTGCTAAGTTTGTCACGACTGGGTTCTGTGCTAAGTTGGGTCAGATCAGCAACTTGGCCTGAAGATGAGTGCTTCTCTGGTGCATCCTTGTTTAAAATTCTGATATAATTCAATTTACAGAAAAATTGCAAAAATACTACAAATAAATTCATCCTAATCCCTTATGTTAACATGTTACCACATTTGCTTTATTTCTGTGTATGATACACACACACACACACACACCCCACTTTCCATGAACTGTTTCACTGTAAGAAGCAGACGTTATGCCCTTTTCTCCCTACAACCACAGTGCTGCTAGAAATAACGGCATTCTCTTACATAATCACTGTACAGTTACCAAACCAGGACATTAAAGTTGATATAATCCTAGCCTTTAATCTGTTGGTTTTATTCAGATTTTGTGAATTATCTAAATAATGTCTATCCAGCAGAAGTTAATTCTGGACAATATGTTGCATTTATTTATCTTTAGTCTCTTTTAAATCTGAGCCAATTCTTGAGTTTTTTGTCTTTCATGACCATGATGCACTTGAAAGTATAGTTCAGGTATTTTTGTTGACTGTTCCTCAATTTAGGTTTATGTTTCCTTATGTTTAGATTCAAGTTCTGCATTTTGGGGCAGTAATACCACCTTCTTAATGCATCATCACAGGAGGCATTTGATGATGTTAGTGCGTCCCATTCATTCTCTTGACACATGAAATTGGAGTACTTTGCCCAGCATCTGGTTGCTGTCTTCTTCTTCGTCGTCTTCTTTTTTTTTTTTTAAAGATTTATTTATTTATTTATACAAGCACTGAGTACAGTCAGAAGCACGGGAGGGTGAGAGGATTCACCAGAGCCAGAGCAGGGAACAGAACAGGCAGAGTGACGAAATACACTGCTGAGGGGAGCTGTGGGCGTGGCAGGAGAGGTGTGTCACACTGTGTGGGACACTCGCTGGTGGCTGGGGATTGAACCGCCGCTGCAGAGGCTGCAGGCAGCTTCACAGCCCAGCACTTAACCGCTGCGCCACCAGGGGAGGCCCTGATTGCTGTCTTGATGAAGCCATAGATGTTAAGATACATACCTTTCAGTATTAACTGTGGGAATGAATGCCAGTGTTCCTACAACTCAGTTGTGACATTTGGGTAGATTGCTCTCTGGGTGGGTATGTGGAAAGGCACCCTTTATAATAATGGAGAGGCCTGAAGCCAGATGCTAAGAATAGCTGAAGATGGTCAGTCACCCCTCGTTTATATCTTTTCATTCTTCCTGCTACTTTATACAAACTGTTGGCAGACTGCTTTAAAGTTAAATTCATTGTTGTGTTTAAAGGAGAAGATAGAATAAAACTGAAGAAAATAGTGCTTTTCAGATGTTCTGCCCAGTATACATAATAAAAAGGACCAGGTGGAGCAAATTTCTCCACCTGATGGGACCAGGAGCAAAGTGTGTATCTTTGAAGCCTACCCGATATGATTGTAGCAAAAACAGCTTTAATGAATGTGATAGTCCAGGAGATTATATCTTGCCTAAATTATCTTTCTTGCAGTAGTCAAGGACCATTGGTTACACCTACCCAAGTTTTGAACAGTATTGCTATTGAATGTATTTTTTTTTTTTATAGAGGCATGTTTTATTTATTTATTTATTTGGTTGGTTGGTTGGTTTATACATGCACTGGGTATAGTCAGAAGTGCGGGAGGGTGAGAGAATTCACCAGAGCCAGAGCGGGGAGCAGAGCAGGCAGAAGGACCGAAGTACACTGCTGAGGGGAGCAGCGGGCGGCAGGAGAGGTCTGCGCGCCATGCGGGACCCTCCTCTGGTGGGCGGGGAGCAGCCAGGGATCGAACCGGTGCCACAGAGGCTGCGGGCATCTTCGCAACCCAGCGCTCAACCGCTGCGCCACCGGGGAGGCCCTGAATGTATTTCTTAAAGGAAGCGCAGGTTCAAAAGTAGAAATTGAAGTACAGCAAAGGCTGAAATGTCTTGCTCAGAGTTGTCCTGCCACTCATGGATAATGAATAAGCATCTAAAGAAAAAACAAATTACATATTCACTGAAAATATTTTTCAGTTGATCAAGTATTAATCTCTTCAAGCGTATTGAATAGCTACAATATCTGTGTTATTTGTAAGATCTTTCTTCTTATAGATGATGTACATGAACATTTTTGAACATGGTACTGTCCATTTGTCCTAATAGCATTTAAATTCCAGCGGGCCATGGATTTGTGTTTCATGTCTCTTGTTCACATAGGTATACCAAGGACCTATCCGTGGTTCCCACTAGGTGAATGAATGAATCTAGAGACAAGCACAGGAGGTTATATATAGCTATTCCAAATGAGATTTTTGCATGTTTTTGTGGAAAGGGACTAAACAGCTTCCTAATACCATTTGCTTTGCTTTTCATATTGTATATTATTACAGAATATAGTAGTAATGTTTATCACCAATTTGTGTCTTCCTGCTGATAAATGTTCCACGTGTGGATCTTTAGGGCAGGAATCAGGTTTCCTAATATTTCTCCAATCAAGTGCAGATTCATTTCACTGTTATACACTATAATTAAAAAAAATCCCAGTATTTTTGAACTATGTAAGATTTATTTACTGGTGCTGCAGGTTTGGTGTAAAGTTTAGTCTAATTATGAGTTTGGGTTGTTTATGCTTTCTTTTTTACTTCTTTCCTGTAAATACCACATAAATGTTTCATGCCTTTTATTTCAATATCATATCTGATTAAGCAGAAAATTTGTGTAATACAGAAAAACAGAGGAAATTACAGTAGCCCCTCCTAAACTGTGGTTTTGCTTTCCGTGGTTTCAGTAATTACCCGAGGTCAACCATGGTCTAAAAATACTACAAGCAACAAGATATTTTGAGAGGGAGAGACCACTCTCACTTAACTAGTATTACAGTTTATTGTTAGACTTGCTCTCTTTTATTGTTGTTAATCTCTTACTGTGCTTGATTTATAAATTAAACTAGGTCTTATTCTATAGGAAAAAAACAGCATATATCATGCTCAGCACTATTTGCAGTTTTAGGCATCCACTGGGGTGATGGGATGTATTCCCTGCAGTTAAGGAGTTATTACCATACATTTTGTTTAACAACCCAAGCGCAGAAAAGGGTCCCACATGACTTGAACTTTTTAAGCTGTTTTTAAAATCTGTTTTTAAATTCAACATTCTGATATTACTAGACAATATTCTGGATAACATCAGGCTTTTTGTCTTTTGTAGCAGTATAGTTACCAAATTATTTTTATTCAAAAAATCTTTTCTTCTTCCTTTTTGGAGTTTTGACTTGGTGTTCTCATGTGAAGTATCTATTAGCTGCAAAAGCTGTTTAAGATTGGTGAAGTTTTGATCACTTTTATCATGTTTTTCTTCAGTTTGTGGTCACATACTTCCTTACAGATTGGTAAATATGTATCTGATGTGGGAGAAAATATGAATCTGGTGTGGGAGAAAACAATATTGCACCTCCTTCCTGAGCAAAAGAAGTGTATAATATGTGTAATGTGCATACAGATTTTTTACTTATTTGAAAATTACAATGGATTGAAGTACATATGAGCATCTCAGTACCATTTAGGTAGGAAGCTCTGGATTTCTGCTAGACTGGCAATGCAAACAATGCCCTAAGACTGGTATTCAATAGGGTTGAAGTATTAAGTCATAAAGGAGACATCTTGGTACCTAGAAAGCTTCCGTGGAATGTGTCATACAACCTATTCAATTTTTGTTCTTTTTTCTTTTTTCCAGAAAATTTGGTGAGCGACCTCCACCTAAACGACTCACTAGGTAAGCATTGTATTAGCCTCTCATACAAACATTTCATCAAAGCATTGGTCCTGTCATTAAATGCTTTTGAAAAGAAGTTATTTAGATACTGGTTATCTAGAACATGAGCTTATTCCCATCATCGCTTCTCCACTATCCTGCCTCCTAACCTCCTAAGTAAAGGGGGAGGCAGGATGAGATGCTATAGTTCAAGGGGGAAAATGAAAGTATTTCAAGAATTAATTTCAAGCATTATATGATAAATATAATAAAGGCTATAATATACATAGCTTCCTATATCTAGTTGCATTTAACCAATCTCAATTTGTTGGTTACAGGTGAGACTTGAAAGTTATTTAATATGTGCTTTTAGAAAAATTTACAAAATATAACCCATTAAAAATGTTTTTAGTTGAAGTAACTATGGTTTATAAAATAAGTTTCAGCTGTGCAACATTATACTTTGGTATCTGTGTATATACCACGTTATGATCACCACAGAAAGTCTAGTTTCCACTTAAGATTTTACCCATTCTTAATGAGACTATAAATATTATAGTATGTTTGAATTATGTAAATTAATTTTGCAGCATGCATTTTAATTGCAAATGTTAAATTTAAATGTATTAATCTTGATGATTTTGAAAATTTCTAATAGTGATTGTGACATAAAGACATCCAGTCCCATAGTTACAATTACTGTTAATGCTAACCCTGCATTTTAATATCTTTCAAGAAAACTATATGCATATATAAACATGTGCCTGTCTTTATTTTTCAAACTCTGGCATCAACTCCACCATTGTTTTATTCCATTTAATGCCACTTAACTGTATGTTTTCTTCCTTTTCACTTTAATGTCTTCAATTTTTCTTTGTTTTCCCATTCATCTTTATGTAGCATTAACATTGATGATCACTTGGGTTATTTCCACGTAGTATTACTATATAAAAGGCTGTTATACTCTTAAGAATGATGAAACGTGCCAGAAGGACACACAAAGAGAGCCACTTTGAAGGGGTTCCCACTGACAGTTATGACTGAAAACTCAGGGAGTAAAATGACAACGTAGAAGCTACACTCATAGAGGAGAGGAGAGGAGCTGGCTTTTCCATACAGAAGACTCCTAACTAATTACATGCAGCGGGAACAATGGAACTAGGAAATCACAGTTTGGCAACCACTACCATGGTGCTTGTTTCAAACAAAAATAATCAGTGGATGCTTAAACTCTTGGATTGAAGTCTGATGAAAAACCCAATGGTTATATAGTCTAAGTGTATCTCACAAAATCCATATTAATTATAAAGTGAAAAATAGTAACATGACAGTGAAGAAACCTGGCAGACATTACCTTAATTAAAGTGTCCTAAATTAAGATTATAAGTAAAGGGTCAGATAATAACCTTGATAGGCTTTTGGGGGCCTGCTGAGTCTATAGTGACTTCTTCACTCTATCTTTCTATTCCCAAATCTGCCATAAATGATATGCAAATGAAGGGCATGGCTGTTCCAGTTCAGTTTAATTTAGGAAGCCCGATGGCTCTCCTGATTTGGTGAGGGAGTAGTTTCTCAGTACTGTTGTCATGGTCCCCGTCCCTCGGCCCGATAAAGGACATTATGGATCTGTAGATATTAGTATTGTATCAGTGGTAATTACATTGTGATTGTATAAGAGAATAACTTTGCTTTTAGGAAGTAAACATTGAGTGCTTTATGTCTACATACCATGTGATTCCACTCTAGAACATGCAAACTAATCTGTAATGACAGCACAGCAATGGTTTCCCAGAAAAGGGGAGGAGGAAGAGGAGGGATTGCAAAATGGTAGCAGAGACTTGGAAATGATGACTCTCTGTCTTTATTGTGGTGATATGCCAAAACTTACTAAATTGTTCATATGAAAATCAGTGCAGTTATGTGTGTTCATGAAATCTCAATAAAACTATAAAAAAGTTACAGCTTTTATATTTTATAAAACCCTAAAAAAAAATTAGTGCCTTTTTTTTTTTTTTTAAAAAAAAAACATTTATTTATTTATTTATACAAGCACTGGGTACAGTCAGAAGCACGGGAGGGTGAGAGAATTCACCAGAGCCAGAACAGGCAGCAGAACAGGCAGACTGTGGAAGTACACTGCTGAGGGGAGCAGTGGGCGGCAGGAGAGGTCTGCGCGCCATGTGGGACCCTCCTCTGGTGGCCGGGGAGGCAGCCCGGCCGGGGAGCAGCCGGGGATCGAACCGGCGCTGCAGAGGCTGCAGGCAGCTTCGCAACCCAGGGCTCAACCACTGCGCCACTGGGGAGGCCCAAAATTAGTGCCTTTTTAATGGGGAATTCAGGTGAGCTTTATTTCTAAGTCTCTTAAAGAGAGCAAACTTACAAGTTTTTATTTTATTATTAAAGCTTAAAATAAATCAAATTTAGTGAAACAGTTGGCCATTCTGTGATAAAAATTTAATTTTAAACCGAAATTTGAACCAAGACATTTTCCCTATTGCTAGTATAGCAAATTTTAGAATTTTTCTTATTGGAAAATTTTGGTGTCTTATTTGAACAAAAATATTCAGTTTTTAATGCAATTTCTTTTTTTTTTAAATTGAGGTAACATTGGTTTACAACATGGTATATGATTTAGGGGAATAGACTTAGGGGGAGATATGATTTAGGAACACCTTCTGAGATGTATGTCACACACCACACCCACCACAAAGCACCCATAACCCGTTACCATAGGCCATGGACCCCTTCCTGCTTTGTCTTTACCCCTACCCACTCTCCTCTTCAAATAGCTTCAGTTCTACACTCATATTTTTAGGGTTTGTTTGGTTTAGTTTTGTCAGTTCCTTCGTTTCTCTGTGTTCTACATATGAGTAAAGTCATCTGGTGTTTGTCTTTCTCCTAATGACTTATTCCACCTAGCAAATCCCATCAAGTTCCATCCATATTGCTGAAATGGCACGAGTTCATCTCTTCATTTATGGCTGATTAGTATTCCATTGTATATATGCACCAAATCTTTTTTTTTTTAATTTTTAAAAAAGATTTATTTATTTATTTATGCAAGCACTGGGGTACAGTCAGAAGCGTGGGAGGGTGAGAGAATTCACCAGAGCCAGAGCGGAGAGCAGAACAGGCAGACCGACGAAGTGCACTGCTGAGGGAGCAGCGGGCGGCAGGAGAGGTCTGCGCGCCATGTGGGCCCTTACCCGGCGGCCAGGCATCAAAACGGCGCTGCAGAGGCTGCGGGCAGCCTAGCAACCCAGTGCTCAACCTCTGCACCACCAGGGAGGCCCAAATCTTCTTAGCCCACTCATCTGTCCTGAGGTTGTTTCCATACCTTGGCTATTGTGAATAGTGCTGCAGTGAACATAAGTGTGCATATATCCCTTCAAATTAGTGTTTTTGCATTCTTTGAGTGGATACTTAGGAGTGGAATTGATATTTTGAAGAACCTCCATGCTGTTTTCCATCGGGGCTGGACCAGTCTATATTCCCACTCAATGGTTTCTTTTCTTCCACATCCTCACCAGCATTTGTTGTTTTGATTTTTTGACATGGGTCATTCTCATAGGAGTAAGTTGGTGGTATCTTATTGTGGTTTTGATTTGCATTTCTTTGATAAGTGATAGTATTTTTTCTGTATGTCTTCTTTGATTAGGGTCTAACTCTTCTGTCCATATTTTGCTCTTTTTCCTTTATGTTGCATATGTCAGTTTGTTGTAGATCTAGGATTTGTCCCTAGTTGGATATATGATGTGCAAGTATTTTCTCCTCTTCAATAGGGTGTCTCTTTATTTTAATGGATTTTTTCCCACTGTACAGAAGATTTTTAGTTTGATGTAGTCCCACTTAGTTGTTTTTGCTTTAGCTTTTCTTACTGCTGGAGTCGAGTTTCCAAAGACATTATTGAAGCCAGTGTTGTAGAGTGTTTTGCCCATGTTTCCTTTTATACATTTTATGGTTTTTGTCTTATTTCCAAGTCTTTACTCCATTTTGAGATAATTTTTATGTATGGTGTGAGAGATTGGTCTAGTTTCATTTTTCTGCATGGGACTGCCCAATTTTTCCAGCACCATTTGTTGAAGAGACTCTGCTTTTACTAGAGTATAGCCTTGGCTCCTTTGTCATAGATTAACTGTCCATAAAGTATGGGTTTACTCTCGGTTCTGTTTTCTGCCATTGACCTGTGTGTGTATTTTTATCCCAGTACCATCCTGTTTTTTTTTTTTTTTTTAACTTTTTTTTTTTTAAAAAAGATTTATTTATTTATACAAGAACTGGGGTACAGGCCAGATGCGCGGGAGGGTGAGAGGATTCACCAGACACAGACGGGGAACAGAACAGGCAGACTGATGAAATACACTGCTGAGGGGAGCAGAAGGCGAGACAGGAGAGGTCTGCCACGCCATGTGGGACTCTCGCCGGCCGGCCGGGATCAAACCAGCTCTGCAGAGGCTGCGGACTGCTTTACAGCGCAGCGCTGAACTGCCTGCATCGCCAGGGGAGGCCCAGTACCATACTGTTTTGATGTTTTAGTTTAGTTTGAAGTTTTAGTTTGAAGTCTGGGGCATATTACCTTCTTCTTTTTTTGTTAGAATTCCTTTGGCTTTTTGGACTCTTGTGGTTTTGTGGTTTGCTCTATTTCTTTGAAGAATTCCATTGAAAGTTTGGGATTGCATTGAATACACATGACTTTGGATAAGATGAATATTTTAAACAGTGTTAATTCTTCCAATCCATGAGCATGTAATATCTTTTCATTTCCTCTTGTCATCTAATTCTTTTGGCAATGTCTTACAGTTTTCTTTGAAAGAGTAAAAATAGTTTAAAATCTCATTTTTTTTCTTTTTTTTTTTGAAGATTTATTTATTCATGCATACAAGAGCTGGAGTACAGGCCAGAGATACGGGGGGTAAGAGGATTCACCAGAGACAGAGTGGGGAACAGAACAAGCAGACTGACTAAAATACACTGCTGAGGGAAGCAGGGGGCTAGACAGGAGAGGTCTGCTGCACCATGTG